TATTTTGTGTATTTGGTGTAGTGAAATGTGTTTATGCGGTTTAAAGTTAAAAAAACACTATTTTCCACATGCTGTACATTATTGTTTCTCCTCTATGCCCCGCCTTTTTGAAACGCGTCGATTTTTACAAAGCTCATCGGTCTGAAAAAGCGAGGTGTACTGTGATTGGCCAGCTAAACAATGTGTTGTGATTGGCCGAATACCTCAGGTGTGAGACAGAAATGTTACGCCCCTCACATACTGTTGATGCCGTGTCCCGGCCGGAGCGACGAGACAAAAACATTAAAACCCATTACAAACGAGGCATTTGTTGCATCCAGTGATATTCTGTTACACCAAATACACAAAATAAGGAAAAATTGAAATCGCATCATATGACCCCTTTAATTAATTAAAACTTTTAAAAAACTTAATTAAAACTGGCCCATCGTCTGAGGCAACTGTAAGTACACTCTTCGCCAGATGGCGCTGTAGTGTCACAACTATACATGTAGTGTCTTACACTACTTTTCCCATTTGTTGTCTCACAGATATTTTGGGCATAAAACATTTCTGCAATTCTGCAAGAGTTTGACAAGTATTTATCTACTCTATGTTAACATTTAAGAGGATTTAAGATTCCTAACTGAAGAATCACCAATTAACCCAATACTGATATCATGTCTAATCAGCACAACATTTCAGGTCCCATTGTTGAGTTCACTGTGAAATGAGAGACTGAGCACGAATGAGTTCAGCCCCTGTCTGGGTCACAGCAAACATGGTTTAAAACGAGTGCCATCATCCCTCTGCCACTCAGTACAATGTGGTCTCTGTGTTGTGTCCCTGTATGGAGTTAAAGAACATTGCTTCCTTCATCTGGCTCGCAGACAAATTTAGCAACATCTGTCCTGCAACAGAGATTTTGTTCTTCCTCCTTTATTTTTGGCATTTTATAAGTCCTTGTAGTGCATTTGGGCCTCTGAGAGTCTCCCTCGGCGTCTTCGGTTTCAGCAGCTGTGGGCTGCCTGTTGTCTCTTTTCTCTTTAGTATGAAGTCTGGTCTCTCCTACCTCATATTAGCAGGCATGTGTCTGAAAGTACAGAAAGCTTTTACTGAATCAATGTGACTGCGTTTTCCCAGCATTTAACCGTACAGTATCACACACTGTGCCATCACATGACTCATTAATGTTGTGCAATGATAAAAAGGATGGTTGTAAAGACTTAAGTAAGCCAGCTAGCAAATGGTGTAGCCGTCTACAAGTGATAGTGTTGACCAAATTCACTTTTAACAGATATATGTGTAAAAAATATACTGTAGACTTTCTCCTCTGGGAGATGCATCAACATCGAATATTTGTTACATTAAGGAGCAACTGTGAGATATATAAAGACACAACTATGGAGAGTCA